CCCGCGGTTTTCCCTGTCCATCCTCCAAGAGTTTACGGAGCTCAAGTCGTCCAGTTCCTCCTGGTTGACGATCCACGACAGTCTCAAAGACTTTATTGGATTCGACGACCCAGTCTTACCTAATAAACATTTTCGAAACCCCCGCCAAAGGAAGAATGCAAACAGTTCTCAGTTCTCACAACCTACCTTAAGCTATGAGCTTCCACAATGCCCACTCTGCCGGCTCCCATTGCCGTCCCTTGAGAAAGTTACCCGTCCATCGCTTCGGCCTTCTCTCAACTTTGAATCGTTCCATCTGCGGCCCAAGCCGCCTCCTTATCGAAACATTGGGCTCCGATGGGCCCGGTGCATCTTGCAAATAAATCTCTCCGGAACTATTCTTGACTCTGTGGCTTCACATACAACCATAGCCGCCGAAACCTTATCCACGAACCCATCACGATTTACCTCTGCCGCACGCCCATCAGTCCAGTCGAGACCCTGAATTCCTCAGCAGATCCCAAACTTTCCCTTCGTGCCATGCTTGTTCTGTTTCCTTTCTCGGACGCTTGCCGACCTCTTCCCCTCGGCCCCCCATGTTCACCCTTCACCCCGCCATCTGCCAATCTGGCGTCCGCGTCCCGCCAAGAAGCGCTTCCACTTGCCCTTCCACCACCCTCCCCATTACACCCCTCCATTTTGTCACTCTGCGCGGACTCAATGCCGAACGCCGTCTCAAAAATTCCCAACTTCTCAATACACACAACATCCAGCCTGGGGCCCCGGCGTAACGGGACCTTCCATGGTCGAGGCTCGGCCGGCATCTCGCAGCTTCGCACGCTTCACACAACTCCAAGCGACGCCCGTTCGTGTCCTCTCCCGTTCACCCCGTACTTCCCGACGTCCATGGTCTCTCATATAACCATCCCGTGACCACAATGTTTTCCGTGTTTCGAGTCTCCTACCACCAGTTCTCTCTACTCATACTCAGTATTCCTTCACCTCATTCAACTTTCAACCTTCTACGTGAGCCATAGTCTGCCTTCGTAGCAACACGCATATTGTAATTCTCTTTCTTCGTCCGCCTTTCACTAAAGATACCCAATACTTCATTCACAATGCCTCCCGTAGCAGTAAGCGACATGGACCTCCCCGCGGAGCCCGTCCACCCCCTCCCCGAAGCAAAGGACCCTCTCGCCTCTTCCGTCGCAACACCTCAGCTCTTCTCTCTCGCCAACAAGACCATCGTCATCACCGGCGGCGGCCGCGGTCTGGGCATCACCTTCGCCCTCGCCATCCTCGAAGCCGGAGGCCACGCCGCCTGCCTCGATATCCTCCCAGAGCCCTCACCCATCGAATGGGCGCACCTTACCAAGCTCGCCACCTCCAAGAACCTTTCCATCTCATACCACAAGTGCGACATCACCGACGAGGACGCTACGGAAAAGGTCTTTGAGGAGATTGCAGACGCCGCCGACAGCCGCGGTGCTCCCTTCTGGGGCGCCGTCGCCTGCGCTGGCATCCAGCAGAAGATTCCCGCCCTCGAGTACCCCGTTGCCGACTTTGAGCGGATACAAAAGGTCAACGTCGTGGGTGTCTTTGTGACGGCGAAGCACGCCGCCCGCGTCTTGGTGAAGCGCAAGAGCAAGGGCAGCATCTTGCTCATTTCGAGCATGTCTGGAGAGATTGCCAACAGAGTAAGTATCTACACCCCGATCTTGAAGGTCTGGTTATCATCAGAACTTCTGGACTAACACTCTTCGCCAGGGATTGACATGCAGTGCCTACAACACCAGCAAGGCTGCCGTTCAGCAGATGTGCAGGTCGGTCGCTCAGGAATGGGGTCAATACGGTATCCGCGTGAACACTCTGTCGCCCGGTGTAAGTCCCACTCATCCACTATCACCGCGCTTCACTACTAAGTCATCTACAGTACATCCGGACCGCAATGACCGATCAGCTTTTGCAGGCCGAGCCTGAGGTTGAGACAACTTGGATGAGGGGAGCCCTTCTCCAGCGCCTGGGCACACCCGAGGACTTCAAGGCCCCGGCCGTTTTCCTCCTGTCCGAGGGCAGCTCTTTCATGACCGGTGCAGACCTCCGTGTCGACGGTGGGCACTGCGCCTCTGCTTAATTTCTCTCTCATCATGCGAGAATGCTCGATAAAGATTGTCTTGGATAAAACGGCGTTGGTCTCACGATATCAGATTGGGTTCCGACATTGGAAACCTCTCACCCCTCACTGCAGCTCGCGTTGGCAAGTTCACGCAGCCGCGAGGTAACGCAAATTTAGAAGTGTAGAATGAGAACGAATAGAGCGAGCATCAATAGCGATATCATCATGTTTCCAGACTTATGTTCGTGCCTTGAGTCTGAAACAGGAAAACACCAGGCACAAGCACGACGCACGACGAGTATTACGAATACATTCACCAAGTGATGGCACTTATTGAGGATGCACTGAGCTCTTATTGGGTATTAGCAGAATGCAAACGATGTGTCATCCATATAACGCCTTGAACGCCTAATGTAGTCTACAGCAGTCCATCTCTAGAGGCCTGTGGCTATTGCTTGTGTTTGCTCGGACCTCCCCATCAATCCAGCTCTATCGGTCAAGCAACCTCCCCAATGCTTTGCTTTTGACCAAGGTAGCTTCATGCAATAGGCATCCCTGCCTGCTCAGGCGCATTTCTCCTCATCATCCTGAATCTCCAATGTCGTTTTCGCCATTCTCGGTACATGTTGTACGCAGGTCTCGGACGGTGGTGGTCATGTTCGTAGAGGAGATCCCTGCTGCTCTAATCCATGAAGTGTTGTACCGTTGATGAAGATCATATACTCTCCACTCTGTCGTACACAGAACCACCGTGATCATGATGACTCCCTAGCAGCTCAGCAAGCATCCTACTTCTGCTGCTTCGGTTGCTTGTGGCAGGTGATTTTGCCCCCTTCATTAACCCAAAACTCATCCTTGGGCTTCCTGGATTCATTAAGATCCATTCCCAACCAGATCTTAGCCTGGACCACCTCACCGTTGTCCTTCTTACAATCGCAGGTCAAGTAGCCGCCAGCAGGCAACCCGTCCTTTGGCGCAAGAGTGCTGCCGACAGTGCACATGCCGCAGTGATCGCGAATCTTCTTCTCATTGAGATTATTCCACCCGAGAACGCCCTTGACGGGGTCAAAGATGACGCACTCGTCAACATTGACGTACGTCGGCTCGCCAAAGTTGCCATCTTTGTCGGTGCAGCACGTCTCGAAGAAGAAGTCGCCGTTGTAGGGGCCGAACTTGCCCTTGTAGGTGCGAGACTGGATGCAGCGTCCGCCGAGGAAGTCTACGCGCTGAATTTGGCGGTTGGGAAAGGTGTCGAGGCGCTTCAGGCAGAGTTCCGGATTAGCCGAGGGGGGGATGGAGATTTTGGCCGGGCCACCTTTGGCTGAGACTGTGTTGGTCATGGCAGCGATGGTAAGAACGAGGAGAGATGAGAACTGCATTATGATGGCGTTCGGGTTGTTTGAGCTGTTTGTTGGGTGTTGGTAGAGTGAGGTGGTGTTCTTGATGAGTGTGATGTGACGTTGGAGCAGAGCTGTCTGAGAATCTCAGAACGAGTGGATGAGTGGGTGGTGTGTTCTGAGATTCTGAGACTTGGTAGAAGAGAGAATGGGATTGATCAGAGAATCTAAGAATAATTACGGGAGAAGGACTTCATTTATATATCTATTCCTACGGTACCTCTGCTACCACCAATGTTATCGGAGATAGAATGAAGATTTCTCGGCCTCAGGAAGTTATGGTCAAGAGCATGTAAGACCCTTGGAAGCCTGTAAAGCCGTTGGAACCTGTAACCATAAAACGCCATTCGAATATCAAGGTATACTGGAATGGGTCGACGGGAACAAGTCCAAGGGAATGGGCGTCCTGGGAGTACACCACGTCACCTTAGACACAGATGTAGTAGACTTGACATAAATACTTCTTTAGCCAACATTAAACTCGTTGAAAGTGTCCCCGTGGAGCGCGTAATTGGCTCAGACATGTTCTTACTAAATAGTAAAGAGTTACATTCTTTGCGCATTCGTGCCCCTGATCCTAGGATACATGAACTAAAAGCCTATATGAAGAGCTGATTTGGAAAGAAGATGACTTGCGAGGATATTCTTGTTGACGCCATCCGCACTCGATGGGATAGCCTAGGCATAGATGTACGAAATGAGAAAACGCCCAAATTTCAAGTGCTACATTTTTAGATACAAGTCAAGCTATCAGAGAATCCGGTCTCCATTCAGTGAAGCGGATAAGCTCAAGGTTGACTCCATTCACGGTGGATCCCCCAATCTCACGATGTCCACGTTGCGGGCTGCCTGCAGTGGGGTTTAGGGCTTCACTTCCACAATCTTGACATCAACAACAGCTGGTCGGTTAGCTCAGTTGGTTAGAGCGTGGTACTAATATTTCATCAGAAATGTTGAGTAATGCCAAGGCCGGGAGTTCAAGCCTCCCACTGATCAATCTTTTGCTTTTGGTCATCAGGGTTGCTGCCAAATGCCTCAGACGCATCGTGGAGTCTTGGGAGACAAGTATTTGCATAGATGCGGGAGATCTTAGGCTCACAAGATATGTCAGACTCAATTTTGCCGCCAGGAAATGAGTCACGCGTGCTGTGAACCTCTGCGGAGACCTGTAGAAGTTCCAGTCGGCTTGACCATCCATCAAAGTCTGCTTGATTCATGATGTGCCAGGAACTACCTTATGTAAAGTCACAGAACGGACAAAGTTGTTACATAGATGTGTTGAAATCGATTGTTAGTTGGCCCGAACAGTTGTTCATCCGTGAAATGAGGCTGAGCCCACGGCATCCCTTCCACCAAGAGACAGCTATGCGAGTATTAATTACTGTATGAAAGGCCTGTCTGTACCTATCAACACGCTTCCAAAACATCCTTGACTCAAAGCTATGTGTGTTATTACGTCTCGCTATTTATCATTTCCCCTTTATCCTTGAAACCTTCTAGTTGTCTGGTCACATACTCATGGGAGACACAACGTCATATTGGTCTTCTTTCCTCGTCGCGTCAAGCTCATACCTAGGTCTAGCGCCATCAAGCTCGACAGTTCGCTCGACTGTCTCCAGCTCACTTGGGCGCCGAGTACCCTTATAGAAGTATTTGGCTTCAGGCTTGCCGCGTCCCTCTTCCGTATCCCCAGTCAGCGTAACTCCTCTTGGCTTCAGGCTTGCCGCGTCCCTCTTCCGTATCCCCAGTCAGCGTAACTCCCTCTATCGTCTTTTGCTTCCTTTTTCTTATGAAGAGGATACCCGCGACTATCAGGGCGGCACCCGCCACGCATCCGACTGCTGCTCCAACTTTGACTCCGATTGGGATTCCGGTCTGCTCTTCGCTGGCCGGAGATGTTGTGCCAGTCGACTCAGACCGGGTGCCTGTGCTGGATGCTGTGCCTGTTCGGGTCCCGACAGACGTTGCGTTTGGTGTAACCGAGGATAAAAGTGTGGACGTAGCTGTTGACAGACCAACCTGCGTTGCAGTCAAAGAGCATGATGTGGTAGTAGTGAGGATATGTGCCCAGTAGTAGCTAAGCTGAAGGGTGGAGATAGATGTCGCCGTGCAGAAGTAGTTGGCGGTGCCATTGTCCCGATACACGCCCTTGTAGTCTGGCTTGCAACACCATGCGCCAGTGTCTGGCTTATCGTTGACAGTATCATTTGCTACCCACATACTCCATGATGGATCAGGGCACTGGGCTGTTAGTACGATACTCGTTTCGGTGTATCGCACTGGGGAACGGTGCGAGGTACCTTGGGGTGAGTATATGCCGAGGACGAGCAGTCGGTGGAGTCTGACAAGACAAAGAGCGTCAGCAGATGATGCGAAGTGAGAAAGATATCAAGATGTGTTCACGAACCTGGGCAGCAGTAGTTCCCATCGTAGCTGCCGTTGCCCGCACACGACAGCCCCGAGGGACAGCATCGAACTTGGAGTCCTCCGGCTTTTCCACATTCAAAAGGGGCATCCTGAGGACAGGAAGAACTGGGAAACCGAAGAGACCAGCCGCCAGCATAGTTGCATTCTTGAGCATAGGCCACATGTATGGCAAAGAGAAAGGCACTGAGCATAATTCGGAAAATGGGCCGACAAGGGCTTGCACCGGGACACGCGACAACCATGCTGTTGAACAGAAAGCAACTTTAAACGCTAGCAGTATGTATAATATGTGTGACTAGAAAGACAGATGGACTAAGTCCGGAAGACGGAAATCGCGGGGACTGCTCTGATATTCAACAAGCCGCTGTTGGAAACCAAGGGATACGTAGGCGTGTATCTCGGTCGCCTATGACGGGAGGACGGGAGACTACCCCTCTTCTCTTCCAAGTCAGCCCTGCAAAACAGCGACATGCGACACAAACCTCGAATCGATTGGATAGAATCTGAGATAAGTCTACTTTAGCTATGCCATGACCGCTGCAAGTTTCTTATTGTGTCCTACCGAGGGCTGGAAAGGGATACCGCTATGTTGTGCATATTCATATCGCCTTGTGAGTGGACAGAATATCAGCCACTCCAGAAATCCAGCCCCTCGGAATGCAAGAGGGACAACGATAACCAAACTTCAGGTCAGAAATTAGCGCAGGCAACGGCCTCTAGAGAACGGCTGGGTGTGGCTTCCTAGGCAGCCGCCACCACATATCAATGATGTTCGCTACGAATGAAGGAATACCACTGACATGAATTTGAAGTCCGATGACTCGTAGGGCTTGAATCTGGCCTTGCAATTCTTCATCGTTCTACATCCCTCCGTAACGCCATCTTCTACTTTGGGAACTTCTAAACCCTAAGTCAAACCCCCCACTTCCCGGCACCCCCCTGTTTCTGGCACCCACAAAAACGCGAAAATCCACCACAACGCAATGCCCACCCCCAACCTCCTTTTATCACAACATTTTCAATTCGAGTCCAAATGGGCTCATTTTTTGCACATACCTTCTTCTATATCTAATGCCTCAATATACCGAAGATCAGCTTCGTCAGGCTCTCGAGGACATCTCAAACGGCAAGAGTCAAAAGAGAGCCTCATTGGCACGATCAACCCTCCAACTACTCCAAGGTGGTCAGACTAGGAAAGTGGCTTTTGCTGACTGGCAGAGGCTGTCTCTGACCAGAGAGTAAGCTGGCACAATGGGTTCGCATTCAGGCTTCGCTGGGCCTCGCACCAACGCACCAACAGGTGAAGGAATTCGCAGAGCGAGTTCTGGCTGCTGCTGGGGATACCAAACCATTAGGAAAAGGCTGGATCTATGCCTTCGTGAGAAGGAACCCTATCATTAAGGTTCAGAGAAGTCGTTCCATCGATTCTAGACGCGTTAATGGGGCATCTACTGAGGTCATTAGGAACTGGTTTAAGTTCCTTGCTATCCCTGAGATCAAGGACATCAAACCAGCCAACAGATATAATATGGATGAGACTGGCATCCTCGAGGGTCAGGGAGCTAATGGGTTAGTGCTGGGCATGGCTGAGACGACGTCTGTTCGCAAGAAACAACCTGGGTCGAGGCATGGGTCTCTATCATTGAGTGTATCTCAGCCTTGGGTAGGGCACTTCGTCCTCTTATCATTTTCAAGGGAAGACGGTCCAACAACAGTGGTTTCCATTACATCTGGTTCCATACGATGGGTGGGAGTTTACAGCAACAGATAATGGCTGGACTACAGACTTAACTGCCATTGAATGGTTAGAGAAGGTGTTTATCCCACAGACTATGCCCGAGGCTGAGGGCGAGGCTCGACTGTTGATTGTGGATGGGCATGGGAGTCATACGACGACAGACTTCATGTGGAATTGCTATATTAACAATATCCATTTACTGTTCTTACCACCACACTCCTCTCATGTCCTCCAGCCACTTGACCAGTCTGTCTTCAGCCCTGTTAAGTCAGCCTATCGGAAGGAGCTCGGTTACTTGTCTCAATGGAACGACTCTACCATTATAGGTAAAAGGAACTTCCTGGACTGTTACCAGAAGGCTCGACTTGCTGGTCTATCAGTCTCGAACATCAGAAGTGGTTGGAAGTGGACTGGTCTACACCCTGTAGCGATGGTTAAGCCCTGATGAACCCTATGGTATTACCTGAGCCTTCTGCAAGCCCACCACACCCAAACCAACCAGTCGGGGCAAAGCGATGCCATAATGGTCAACAAACTACCCCTGTTGAGCCATGGGATTCTGCTTCCTCTGCAGTGGTCTGGTCGACACCCAGGAAGCTGGCAGAGCTCAGCGGTCAACTGCACTTATACACCCAACTCGACAATGATACCAGCACTCAACGGCTGCTGTTCAGGAAGGTGAAAAAAGGCTTCACAGAGCAGGCCTGGCAACTGGCAGCTGCCCAGCAGCAGCTGGCTCACCTGAGGCCAAGTTACCAACGCTGCAGTTAGGAAGAGGAAGACTGTTCAGATCGATCCCAACACGAAGTTTGCGAACATCAGGGATATCCATCGGGCTCAAATCGAAGCGGGTGAAAAGGAGGTTATTACGGCTGAATCCAGCGACTCTGAATGCCCTAGTGAGGCTGGCAGTTGTATTGTAGTGGGTGTGGTTGAGGATCAATAGTTAATAGTAATGAGGAGGTTGGGTTGTGATCCCATCGTTTTTGTGGGTGCCAGAAACAGGGGGGTGCCAGGAAGTGGGGGGTTTGACTTAATTCTTGCCATCATACGTGTCAACCTACCGGCAATGCGTGAGAAGAGGGCAGTTCGATTTCCCAAACGCCCATTTGATCTACTTGAAATGGATGTCAAGGCCAATATGCCAGACGTGCAAGAGTTCGGTGCTAATGCTTACTCACTTCTGTCCTAAGCCGTTTCCTTGACGCAAGTAGGTTTCGATCAATCAATGTCGTTAACTTGGAAGGATTTTGACACTTTTCAAAGCCTTGCTTGGGTTCGGATTCCTTGACTCAAGGTACTCAAGGGTAGCTGAGTGGAATCTCTGAATCTCGCTACGACGCGGGCTTCTTAGTCCTACCTGTAATCATGTCTTCCCCCTTTCTTTGACCAACGCTCAAATACCTAGTTTGAAGTGTTAACAAGTAGTCAACCCCGATCTTATAGAAGTTTGATCACGGACTTCTTGCTGTTGACTCTTGGACAGCGCGTTGTTGAATCATTATCATTCGCACCCACAGACTGAGCTTGAAGTGAACCATAGTTGACTGTACAGGCTGTTGCGAATTTGGCATCAAATCTTGGCAATGATGACCATCTGGAGAATCGATTCTTCACGAACATTACAGCTTGCGAAACTTGAGATCTCTCACTGATAATCAGGCTTGAGAACCAACGCTGGAGGAACTGACACGGTAGAGGAACATGGTAAAAGACCAATGTTGGGGATATGACGAGTAGGGTTTGGGTCGATCCTTCTTTGGCATGCCTCCCGAAGTGAAAGAGACCGGGTCATGAATTGATACAAGCTGTGTATAGTAAAAAGGAATGATCAATGTGTGAGAATGAGGCAATCCAGAACAAGGTAGTTTGGCTACTACCTCGTGTCATGCACGGATTTATCGGTGTGATTCTCAGCCATCTTAGTTGTGTTCAAGGTTCTTCAAATTTGTTCGTTTCGGAAGGGCCGTCGGTCGAATACGAGACGATTTTATTGGTGTACTGATGGCTTGTAACCCAAGAATTGGAAGTAAATGGCCATCGCTTGGCTGCGTATGTGACCTGCTAGTAGACACCCAACTTCGCTTTTCGTAGCATGTGATCAAGAGACTCGGAAACTAGCTCTTTTCTCCCACGAAACCATGTCGTTCAAATTGGCAGTACCAGATAGTTGGTTGATCCAGAACACAACTAGAACGTGGGGTGTTGATTGCCAGACGAATCCAGAACATCAGCTTGCTGTGCACTAGCCACTGTCACAGCTGTCAGCCACGAGGAAGATAGTGGCGCTGGAAATGCCATCTCCGCAGCCGAAACCTTGCTGTGGCCGGCGGCGCGGCCGCCCTTCGGTACTTTGTTAGGGTGACCATGCTCAAATCTTCCCGACGGCTCGTAACGCAGCGCGCCACCCGACCCCAAGGTAAACAGATCTCTCTTTCAACATCACATGTACGATGGTGTCTGTTCCCGTCCAGTGGGATTTCATCGGAGAATATCAGAAAGTGCCAACAGAGTAACGACTCTACGCGATCCGGGACCTGGCGACATGCCAGTCCTGCGGTCGCATCTGCGGCTGAATGGAGTGAGAAATTCAGCATTCTGCGCCGGCGGCCACCATCTTATCATGGTTCGTTAGCGACATACGGGAATCAGCGCCTAAATATTTCACATTTAGCAACCAAGACCGGCACCTAGGGAGTGAGAGGCACCCTATTTGGGCTCGTCCAGGCTTTAGATAGATGTCTCGAGTGTCTAGGTATTGTACACTCTACCGTCGCGTCTGCCGTCTGGGAGAAATTGGGGGAGCTTGGGAGCGTCTGGAGATAAGTGGAAACGAGTTGGTGTGTTGATCGAACGGGGTGAAGATCCCCCAGCCGTGTGAAGCGAGTGGGGCCAAGGGTTCGCTTCTCCCAGTTCTTATCTCGCTCTTGATGCGGTAGGATATTCCAGCCATCGTCTTATCAGGGACCATCCGACCAAGAAGTACCGGTGGCTGCAGGGCAAAAGTTTGGTCTGGGAATGGTTCCGAGCCCCAGGTAATACCGAAGATATGGAATGCTAATTAGCACGCGAGCTGTTCAAAGCCCAGACAAGCGGACAATGATGGCATTTGTGAGGCAACGTCATGATTTATGATATGCAGATTGTTTGGTTTACGAGCATGTAATTGACCTTGACATCAATTCGGATCCAATGAAAGATCTGTTCTCTCCAGGTTGTCGCAGCGTGTTGACCTTGTGGTCTTGCGTCTCTGGTGTGAGACTACCACGTCAATTTGCGACTGACGAGGACAGAAGAGGAAATCCTGAAAGAATACGAGACAAGTGATGTGAAGAAATTTCTCTAGTTCATCATGTTGGTTGTCGGGTATCTTGAGGCTGCGTGAGGCGATCGATATCATGCCGCGAGTCGCACATTTTGGTGGTTGACTCGATGAGATCGAGTAATGGATAACATGCGGGGTTTGGGCGCCATCTATGATAAGCTACCCCTGTCAGAGGAGCTAACTTATCATACATAGCCGCACCGTCCCATGCCGGACAGGCATCATGGTGCGTCGTTGATGAGCGGGAGCCGTTCCTCGTCGCCGTACTAACGCGGTGCCACCTCCAACGCCCCTGATAAGAACATTTTCTCTTCTGGGAGGAGCCAATGAGAGCCGCGGAATGCGTCCAAAGGACCAGAGTTTTATGGTTTCCGGTGCCAGGGCTTCGTCCTCTTACTCGATCAGATTTGACGTCGTTGTCGACTTGGGAGCATTTCAATTTGCTGCAATCACGGCGAGACCGGCAGCACCCTTGTCTGAAAGCGGTTCGTAGCGTCGTCTTGTCTTGCGTTCTTGGGCTTGTCACCCCCCCCCCCCCCCGTCTGCATTCCGGTTCCCCAATCGTCTCCTCCTCTTTTGCCCAGCGCCAGCGGGATGGAACAGATGGAGGCGACGACCTTGAAGAGCTTGTCACGCTTGTCCCATGTGGGGGTTTGTCGCAGCGATTTCCGGGTCCATCAGTTGATAATCGCTGACACCAAGGTACCGCCGACTCGTTTTCGTGGAACTGGCGAGGTCTTTTATCAGCCTCTCCATATCCAGAGCGACACCGGCCCAGCATGTGAATAAATATCAGTCGACATCTCCTCCATCATCTCGGCCTCGCTTCTTTGTCTGAGAGAGATCAGCTGGAGTTTTCCCACCCTCAACCGAACAACCAGACTTGACTGCCTTGGTATCGCCACTTCTTTTGGGGTGTCATCCTGCAGATCACGACCCGTGTCACCCTGCAGCCCAGTCTTTCGGTTCCCCGTCTCGTCCTCACGTGCATATCGTCATCACAACCTGTGCCAGTCCGTGTACTGGTGTTTCGACAACTCGCCGAATCGAAATCATCCGAAAGTCAGCACGAAAGTCGCGGACTTCACCCCTCGACACGTCTTGCCAAAGTCCATTTCCGTCAGAAAGAGTCGCCAAAATGGACATGGATACTGCAACTACTACCGCTCGCCCGGAAAAGGCCCACGGCTCAAGACTGGGTTACTTGGCGGACAAGATCGCTGTCAAATCAGAGCCTGGGTTGACCAGCGCTCAGCTGATGGTAAGATTTGCCAGTCGAAAAATTGTTGAGCCATCCGAAACCGTTCTAACATTCTCAATTTACAGTTGACGAACCATGATCTCAAACCGTGAGTAATGCCACTGCAAAAAGCGCACGCGACACCTACAAGAGCATGGTGACTGACCTCGAGACAGAGTTGAGCCCGAGAGACGGCAATGGGGACCTTGGAACTTCGTCGCTTTCTGGGTCGCTGACTCCTTCAACGTCAACACATGGATGATTTCGTCCTCCATGATTGTAGGTGGTCTTTCTTGGTGGCAGTCTTGGCTCTGTGTCTGGATCGGCTACGCCATTGCTGGATGCTTCATCTGCATGACTGGTCGCATCGGTGCAGTGTACCACATTGGTTTCCCCGTTGTCAACAGATCATCTTTCGGAATCTGGGGAAGTTTGTGGCCCGTTTTCAACCGTGCCGCCATGGGTAAGCCTGTTGCTTCTTCCCAAAGTTGAACTTCACTGATCAATACCAGCTTGTGTTTGGTACGGTGTCCAGGCCTATATCGGCGGCCACTGCGTTTACCTGATGATCCGTTCCATCTGGAAGTCTTGGGTGAGTAGCAATGCCTCTAGAATGCCTAAGAAGCTTCAAATCTGATGCAAAACAGGACCGAGAGACGATTCCGAACACTTTCTCTGCATCTTCCGGCACTACCACCGCTGACTGGGTGTCTTTCTTCCTCTTCTGGGTGCTGTCGTTGCCCGCCATCTGGTTTCCCGTTCACAAGATCCGACACCTGTTCACGGTCAAGTCGTACATCGTCCCATGCGCTGGAATCGCCTTCATGATCTGGGCCATTGTCCGCGCTGGCGGCATCGGTCCCATCGTTCGTCAGCCCGCAAAGCTTCACGGCAGCGACTTGGCCTGGGAATTCGTCAAGGGCGTCATGTCGTCCATCGCCAACTTTGCAACCCTCATCGTCAACGATCCCGATTTCTCCCGTTTTTCCAAGAAGCCGAACGATGCTCTCTGGTCTCAGCTCTTCACGATTCCGATCGGCTTTGCATTTACCTCATTCATCGGCATTATGGTGTCTTCTTCCTCGGCAGTCATCTACGGTGAGGAGATTTGGGATCCCCTTAAGCTTCTCGAGAGATTCATCGACGACGGCGGTTCCGCTCAGCGATTCGGTGTGTTCGTCATCGCTTTTGCGTTTGCTCTGGCCCAACTCGGTACCAATATTGCTGCCAACTCCGTTTCCGCAGGTACCGATATGACAGCTCTGCTACCCCGGTACTTGAGCATCCGTCGCGGTGGATACATCTGCGCCGCTATCGGTCTGGCCATGTGCCCGTACACCCTTCTCACGGATTCCAACAAATTCACTACCTACCTTTCGGCATACAGCGTCTTCCTGAGCTCCATCGCAGGCGTCATGTGCTCTGACTACTACGTCGTCAGAAAGGGGTACCTCGAGATCAGAGAGCTGTACGATGCGCGCAAGACCGGCCCGTACTTCTTCACCTACGGCTTCCACTGGCGTGGGTATGCCGCCTACATTGCCGGAATCTTGCCCAATGTGGTCGGATTCGTCGGTGCGATTGGCGTTGATGTCCCTATCGGCGCGACATACATCTACAACCTCAACTTCTTCGCTGGATTCATCGTCTCTGGTGGCGTGTACTGGGGCCTGTGCAAGATCTCTCCTATCCCCGCCACCAGCGACAAGTGGATGGAAGTTGGAGAGGAAATTGATGATATCCGTGTCGCTTATGATGCTAGCAGTAGCCAGGACTACGATGAGGAGAGAGTTCTTGGCCCTTCCAAGGGCATTGATGATGGAGCTAAGCATGTTTGAAAAGGAGTAAAAGGTTTATGAAGGGGTCGGTGATTTGGATTTGGATGATACCATTGTTGTGCAAAAAGGGGTTGCAGATTTGCGGGTTTTCTTGAGCGTATGATTGAAGTAATGAACGATAAATGTTTCTACTGAACTACCTGGCAAAAGCTTCGTGATATGATTGAGACAAGCGAATCTTTCGCCCTTATAATACCCTAGGTACAGGCTATGAATCATTGCAGCAAAAGTACCGAAGCAGGTGCTCCCCAGCAACTCGCCATCTTATTGTTCAGCCCCTTTTCTTCAATACGACCCCTGCTGGAACAAGCTTAGACAACAAGGGCGGGAGTTCAACCTCTTCTGGTATCTCGAAGAGGCGCATAGAAGTGATTGCATCCCCGAAACGGGGCGACGCCGTGATTACAGCAACGGGTATCGCCAAGAAGAGACCTACGGCTGATGGGACAGCCCACGCCAGCTCAGCAGTCCCTCGAAGAGCAAGTAAAACTCCAAAACCGAGAAAAGTCTGCGGCCACAGAACACGGAAGCTGTCGCGCCAGCTGAGACCGAGCCGATCGCGGTTCTGCCCATCCCATGCGATGGACTTGCCCCTGAGTAGACCACCCAAGAATAGCGCAATAGCCAGAGCTGTAATCGGGGCGATGAAAGTCATCAGGAACAACTCCACAAATGTTGAGAGGATGCAGCGAAAACTGCCACCATAGCGCCTGGAAGATGTTGTAACAGCCTCGAAGACACCGGCAAGTTTGGGGAATATGCCGAAAGCAGCGAGAGCAAGGTGCGGAGTCCAGCCAAAGACGAGGCTCATTTGAACGACGCTAGGTTCTCCTATGACTTCCTTCGCGATCCATGCTAGTGTCATCAAGACGCAGCAAGCCTGGCCAATGTACGTGGTCAAGGTCTGGTATACCTGAAAGCGGCTGATTGGATGAATGCCAGGCTCGCTTAGCATGAACCAGTACTGCATAGTCCCTTGACACCAGCGTAATTCGCGACGAAGGAAGTCGAGAAAGGTAGGCGGATTGGTCTCGTAGCTTTCCGTCTCGATAGGCAGCACTCGGACCTCGTAGCCGCCTCGGCGCATGAACATTGCTTCCAGCAGATCATGACTAAGGATGTAACCGCCCAGCGGCGGCTCTCCAGGGAGCTTCGGCAGCATGCAATGCTTGTGGAAGGAATCAGTACGGATGATGGCGTTGTGACCCCAATACAGCGCGCAGTCGTGAGCCCACCAGCTGAAGCCCATGTTGTATGTTCGCACCCCATGACGCAGGCCGAACTGGAAGAGCCGCGTAAACGCGCTGACCGCAGGCATACCGATGACTATGGTCTGCAATAAGCCGATGAGGGGGTTCTCTTCCATGCTAGAAACCAGCCGGACGAGTATGTCGCCGCTCATAGCGCTGTCGGAGTCAAGAGTGACGAAGAAGTCGTCTCCTTTGGAGTGGTTGTCGAGGTAATCCCTGAGATTGCCAGCCTTGTACCCGGTGTTTCTACCACGGCGTCGATAGAACAGAGGCTCAGCCATACCCTCGCTCAGAGATACGGCATGCTGAGCAAATACCCCCGCTTCCGATCGCGCTACGTCAACGTGGTCGGTGTCGCTAAGTAGCACAAAGCGAAAGTGCTTGAGACAATTAGTTTGCCGAAGGCTCTCATACATGGCGTAGAGGCGGTCGAGCACTGGACCTGGATCTTCGTTACGCATAAAAATCGTGAGCGCTGTCGTAGACCTAAGATTCGACAGAGGTCCTCGAGGTCGAAAATATGGGTAGACGGATCGCTCTGCGTTGCCGAACAGGATGATACACAAGCCAATTGCAGAGTTCCAGAAGCTGACGATAGGCCAGGGAATGCAGATAATTCCGCAAAGCACAATGACTATGTCTAGCAGAGTTTGCTTGCTTCGCACGAATACGATGAAGTTGATCCAAAGGAACGGGAGGATTGTGATGCTGTTAAGGGCTGTAACCAACAAGCGGCGCTGGGAGACTGACATCCAAGCATCGCGATTCGAGGCCACGACACACATCTTGCGTTTGAGGTATAATGAGTCGATCCGATGTTCGTGACCTAATGCCGTATCGGTAGCTATGAAAACTATTGCAAGTCTCAGCTGGGTCCAATATGGAAACTGGGAAATCAAAATCCTCAGTTCGAAGGCCCGTAGGAGTCGAGAATGGATTCACGGGGATTTATGGAAGTACAGAACTCCGACTGCCGGTTATCTTGTCTTACAAGTCTCGAATCGGAAAGGCCAAATTCTCCACCTAGATAGCTTCCGTGGCAAACGAGGAAATGGGAGACGGAAAGTAGCTGTCTGACCCTTTCCGACTGGGGGCTCGGCGCCGCCGCGAGCGAGAACAGCGCCTCCCGGCAAGACTTCTGACCAAGTGAGGTATCTAGGCCTGGGACTTCGGATTACCGGAGTCCAGCATAGATTGTCAACCAGTACTATTTGCGCTCAAACTCATCTACTTTGTGGATACCAATCAACTTCTACATGTATCAATGGATACTCGGTCATCTCGGGACGCTGCTTGTAAGAAGTCACTACGATCCAACATACCTAGGTGAACGGAATCAACGAGCTCCTAACGCCGCGTATCCAAGGGTGAATGTCTAAGCTCACATCAACTTGGAGAATCCTGTAGTATTCTGAGCATATGAGCAGTCACAGGAATAAACAAATCGTCAACGACCCGAGGTCATATTTCCTTCACGACGGAGTGGTACAGCACAGAGTACAGTATACCCCATTTGAAGACTAAGGTCAGGCTGGAGCTGTCGAGCCGTACAGTTAAGCTTTTTTCAGTGTAACCCACCTGAAGCTTGAAATGAAGATGACAATCTCTTGTGCACTACTAATTACCTCTACCCGGTATTTTGGCACCTGTCATCTCGCACTAAGTCAAGTCCGCCAATCACTTGCTGATTCGCTTTACAACCCTAGGAGCACCGTTCGGCATCACGAAGAGCCCGACTTCGCCGCTTGGATACTGAGTATTAAGGTTCCCAATTTACAATTGACTTTCGGCTACCTAGCTATCTACTGGCTGTGCTCCCCCACCCTTCCGGTGGGATACCGAAACAACGCTTGAATACGTGCACGACTGACTTATAAGATTAGTTTCAGTTCTTGCTATGAGGAGGAGATGAGCAAGTGAGCTAGTGGCAATTGGCCTTTTCGTACTACAGGAAATTATTATTCCAAAGAGTTCTTCATCCTTGGCTTGATTGCTAAGTAGTCACTCGTTTTATTGTTGAGATGCACTTTCTGAAGTCTCTTTGCACAGCCAGCTTAGCTGCCGTAGCTACCTCTACATATGCGGGCAACCTTAATTATGGCTCTCCCTCACTCCACCACCCATTCCTCGGTATCTCTATTCGCAAAGTAGCAAGTAGATCTGATGGTAGTTCGCCATGGACACCGGAGCAGCTGAATTTCACACACGGCGTAGCATCCGGTGACCCGTATGACGACAGCGTTATCCTCTGGACTCGTGTTGCACCAACCATGGATAATGACCGCAGCAACGTGACTGTTGAGGGCACCGCTCCAATGTACGCTCACAACAACGACGTCTTCGTCAAGGCAAGCAAGTCGCCAATCTGCGTTGACTGGAAGATCGGGAGGTCTGCATCAATGGATGGGCAACCGATTAAGTCAGGGACGGCTTATACGAGCTCGGATGTTGACTTCACCGTCAAGGTGAGTGGACGTGTATATGCAAACGCCCGAGGCTTAACTCACTTACTCTACCACAGGTCGAAGCAAAGGCTCTCAAGCCATTCACGATTTATTGTTGGTTTAGCAAGCTAAGCTGAAAGACGTGATCTAATGCAAAGCAGATTACCAGTTTAATGTCTGCAATTCCGACGTCAAGTCCCCTGTCGGCAGAACTCGAACCCTGCCGGAGTCAGGTACCAAAGTGAGACGGGCAATCAAGCTAGCTGTCTATAGCTGTGCCAACTACCGTGAGCTATTCGCTGAACTACATGTTAAAATAGTGTAGTTATGTTATTCAAGCTAATGTGTTTGCATCAGCATTCGGATTCTTCAATGCCTACGGGAATCCCGAGCGGAAAGACTCCGTGGACTATATCGTCCACCTCGGCGATTATATTTACGAGTATGGGAACGGCGAGTATCCCGTCGGCGGCTTAGGATGGGGAGACTCTATCGGTCGTGTCCCCGAGCCCAATCGCTCATGTCACACGTGCGTTAAATCTTATTAACGCCTATCTATTGAACGATTCATGACTGATTCAAGTCACACTTAGTCTCTACGATTACCGACGACGCCTTGCCCAGTACCGCAGCGACCTTGACCTTCGCGCTAGCCATCAAAGGTTCCCCTGGATAACTGTCTGGGATGACCACGAGGTGATGGACAACCCTTACCGAGACGGCTCCGCAGCAATGAACAACACCGAACAGTCATTTATCAAAGACGACGGCATATCTGTGGAAGCGCGCAAGATGAATGCTGTGCGCGCATACTTCGAATGGAGTGAGTCCTATTTGCCCAACGACAAAAAATCTCCCAGTTGTCCACGCTAACATTGCCTGCTCCCAAAAGTGCCCCTCCGTCAGGTTGATATGGACGACAACCTGCGCATCTGGCGTAGCTTCCAGTTCGGCGACCTCTTCAATCTCATCATGCTTGACACCCGCAACTATGATCGCTCTATCACCGACCTATACTGGAACACAGGCTACGTTCACACCATTAGTGATGATACCAGCCGCTCGCTGATGGGCTCTCGCCAAGAAAACTGGTTCTACCGTCAGCTCATAGAGTCAGCCTCGACAACACGATGGCGTGTCGTTGGTAACCAGGTAGTCTTCAGCAAGATGAACCAGAGCATCTCCAATGGACCCAAGAACCCGTTCAACTACGACCAGTGGGACGGTTATGCTGCTAACCGAAACCGGACGCTCAAGACTCTCTATGATAACAACATCGACAACACAGTGTTTTTGGCCGGCGATAGTCATGCGTCGTGGGTCAGTGACCTTGTCTGGCTTGGCGAAAAGGACTACAATTCGGAAACTGGGGCCGGTTCCATCGGGGTTGAGTTCGCCGGCACAGCCGTCACCTCGCCTTCATCGGCGGGTCAGAACATCACCCAAGAGAAAGCTCTTAACAGAAGCGCTTGGATGACAGCTGCGAACCCAGAGCTGCAATGGCAGGAGTATTACTACCGCGGCTACTTTGAGATGACCATCGACTACGATGCAGTCAACGCTACCTTCTTTGGGTTGCCCACTTACGCCACGAGGAATGGACTCGAGATCGCGCTGGCAAATTTCACGGTCCTTTCTGGGGAGAACAAGCTACGGCGCCCTGTTGGTGGAGGCAGCGTGGAGTTTGGGAACTTGAAAGGCGGCGTCACGAAGCAGACTAATTTGACCAACGACACCAACACTGGAGAATGGTCTGTGTTTGAGAGTTCGAAGCTGGGCTGGGAAGACCAATCTCACTAGACATCCATTAGCTCACGCAAGAGCGGAGTGGTGCTCAGCGCAGGTCCATGTGGCCAGTCCGAAAAGCTGCAGATGTAGTGATATGTGAGCTAGAGGACCCAATATCAATACTGCAGACGACGTTGACAGTACTTTCCGAGCAGGCGTTCATGTTGCGGCCGATAATACTACGTCTGCGAGCCCTACCTACGTGAAACAAGGTGGCATTGAGATATCTTTTTGAAAGCCCCTACCTACACCTACGGAACAGATTATGATCTCTGATGGTATCTAGTGTTGAGAAAATTTCCCGTGGTACAAAAAGATACATGTCAAATTGCTCACTGTCGCATTTACTTATATATTTGAATCAATAGTGTATGTGCTAATGAAAGCTTCAAGGTCCAGCTGTGGCCTTGGCTAAGTTGAGTGGTATTGATGTGGCGGAGAATTTTCACTGATTTATTGCATTTTGTGGTAGGGATGATCTCTATGGTCATCGTCTGAACCCATGATTTCTATATTCTTCTTCATAACAGAACGTGCATGTACCACATCCCAATGATGATTGACACAATCTGACATATTGAGCGGTTGCATAACCAAGCTAATGGAGTTTCATGGCCCAGCAGCCGCCTCCAATGGTCTTTGATCCAGCTTTATAGATTGAAGAAAGTTCCCCAAAGTCTTCTCGATACTGTCGCGCTCAAAATCGAACCTGTAACGGTCCACATTCTCAGGCGCATAATTGACCGCGTGCACACCGTCTTGCAGTGCCAGCCACGCAGCCAGCAGTGCGCCTTCCATCTTCCAAACATTTTCTTTCTCGGCAGTTTGGAACAGTGGATTATCGTAACCCTGATCAAGCCCCTGGGCTATGAAAGCTTCGGTATACTGCTTCCACCAATCCGTATAAGCGTTAAACCACGCTTCGGGATATCTCTCTTTCAGGTCGTCGTCGTCGATATTGTCGCCGCCTTCGGGGTTCGCGGGCCACCCATAGGTGTACCACATGAAATTGGTTCCGTAGTCTGGCCAAATGGAGTATTTGTATCCTGGCAGGGAAGATCCGTGTTCCTCCTGGGGTTCTGGCCGTTCGTTCAATTGAGATTCAGATTCTAGTTGATCTTCCGACTCCGAGGGTCCCTCTTTGTGTATTTGGAGTAAAGGCGTATCTGTTGGCGGCTCATGGACGGAATTTTCCTCCTCTACCTTAGATAGGGGCTCGGAGAGGGCCTGAGTGACTGGAAGTTGGGACTCGGCCAGTGCCGTAGGGGTGTCAGACAGCGGGTCTTTGTCCTCCGCCAAGCGAACTTGAAGAGAGTCGCCTGACAGTTTTAGAGTAAGGCCATAAGGGGTAGTGATAGAAAAGTGAACATCAAAATTAGAGTGTTCGGTAAGTGCTAATAACGCCTTAATGGATGCGATAGAAGGAGCCATTGAAAGGTGAAAAGTGAAAGGTGCGGATTTGATGAATTTCTGAAAACAAAGGGTTGCGGATCGTCTGAGCAACAAACTGGCTGAGGGATACTGGCCGTATTAGTATCTAGGAAATCGGGGCCGAGGCCGTGGCTGTGTCGGCGCGAACAGTCAGAGGTGGTATTATTCAACTTTTTCCATTTACCGGGGGTAAAAGACTCGAGGCCAGAACGAGAGACCCAACCACCTGCGGAGGCCGCTTCACCTTTGGGAATTTTCCAAGCGCTTAAAGGTAGATTTCAGGGCAGTCCAACCCCCTGCCCAACCTATGGATTGAAGAAGGGACTTCCAAGTCCGGCCTGCAACATATGGTTGGAAGCGACGACAAGATTGGTTCGTGGGAAGGCAAGGGCATCCCTAGGGAGCTTCAACAAGAGAAAATACCCATGTTTGTTGAGGCGGCGACTACGGCAGGTAGACGCATCACCACCCAGGGCTCAAGGAGCCAGCTATGTCAAAGGCGAAAACCTCCCACCTGGGAAGGTTCTTCAACAGAGACAAGTGAGACGGTTCATGGAATTTCGATTGAGCAAACGAGACTCTCGAAGGCACAATGGATGTGCCAAGGCGTTACCGGCAGGCTTTTATGTATCTAGTGCCTTACACCATAGTACCTACCGTAGGTATCACTGATACACTGTTGAGCAGTAGATTAGAAGAGCAAGAAATCTTGTGCTTCAGCGGTCCCATCCGCGTATCCTGTCACCGTCCGACCATCTACTACCTCTCATTCTCCTGCCAGTCTTTGTACCTAAGATCACGTCTGACTACGTCGAACCTCAAGTGCTTTATGTTGAAGATCACGTCTGACACTGACGACTTTACTTCATAGACCGGGTCATCCCATCAACGGCTAGACGGCGTACGCAAACATACAGTCCGACCATGTTTTCCTTGGATCCGCCTATGAATAACTCCGGAGTAAAGTTATATTCCTGGAAAAATAGTAGAGGCGGATGCTGATGCTAAACAGACCTAGAGAAAGGCTGAAGACGGTGCACTGATGCTATCTAGCAGTTGGCGGGATAGTACCTGTAAACAGCATGAACTACCTAGTATAAGTATGGAAGAGGTATCGGTCCCTTTGCCTTTGCATGTCCAAGTGTGCAAGACACGGTGAGCTTTGTCTACGGCGTAATACCTATTCCCTGTAAGTGCTGGCGTCTTTCGATACAGGTAGGTTTGTAGACCAATTGGAAGGGCCTGTTGTGAGCAATGCTCTGCTAGTTCCTCGTCAGTTGGTGCTTATGGTTTCAGGCATTTCATCGCACGTAGGCGCTGGGAGCGGACCCGAAAACCCATGGCCCCTGTATTCTGCCCTAAGCGCTCGGAAATTCCTCAAAATGGGATGCGCCCACTCCAGTTGTTTTGAGATCTCAATTGTTGTTGTTCTGGTCTGTTGTTTAGATCTGTTGGTTAGGCCTTCTGGCCGTCACCCCTGTAAGTGGAAAAGTGTCATAATAAGCATGGATGACAATGCTACCTGCTTTACCTACCTCTGTCACCTGTGGGCTCTGACTGCTGCAAGGCGCTTTTAGCACAGCCACGGGCGGCCTCATTTCCCTATTTTCACGATACTACATGTAATATGTGAATTATCTCTCGACCAGATCAGTCATTTGCTGAAGCTAATCAACATCTCATTTCTTCAGAACTCCATCAAGTCATCAATACTTTACAATGTCTCCTCCATTTAAATCCATCAAAGCACTACTGGCACTCGCCGAAAATTCCAATTTAGAAATTCACTTTTCCATTTCCACCCCCTACGGCCTTGTTGTTGAGCTCTCAGGCGACTCTCTCGAAGTTCGCCTGAAGGAGGAGGACATGAAGTTACTCCCTGCCAACACGGCAGCGCAAGTAAAGCCAGAGGAACCATCGGCCATCCAATCTACGTCCGCACCCCTATCCCAGACAGAGGATCAGGAGTCGGTCAACGAGCCACGAACAGTACATGTCGAGCCACAGGTCCCAGTCACCCAGGTCGGAGACGAGCCTCTGTCTCCAATGGAGCAGCAAAATTCAACCGAGCAGTCAAGGACAGAATCGACATCGGTGCAGGCTCATAAAGAGAATCCCTTGAAGCCAGGCGACCAATCAGAAGCTCTACCAGAGTACGGGCCTTCTTTACCAGGATATAAATACTGCATTTGGGAGGACTTTGGGACAAATTTCCTGTGGTACGTCTGGAACTGGCCCGCGAATCCCGAATTCTGCGGCGAGCCTGTCGAAGACGACGACCTCTTAGAGAGATATCCCAAGACATGGTACAAGGCCTATGACAATTGGGTCGATCGATACACGGAGGCTTTCAGAGCCCACATAGAAATGAACGCCAATAATCCAGTATTCAACACTGCCAAGGAGTTGAACCTCTGGGAATTTGAGGGCACGCTTTTGGCTGCGGGGCTAGCTCTACAAGATGGCGTTTATGGGGTGGGTTACGGAACAGAAAAGAATGACGACTCGTATGCTCATGAATTCGAGTTCGAACGCGATGGCTCCGAGAGTATCGGGAAGACTTTGGAACGATACATCCAAAGAAGGATATTGGATCAGAACCTGGATATTGGGGTATGATGCGTCGAATGAACCATGATTTACCTTACACCAAGGCAGTCCCAGAATCCAGTAGTCCAGAAACATGTAGAATAGTTACAGCCATCTGTCCGCGTATAGATAAGTAAATATATTGATCAAATCAATTGCGGTAATAGCGTTTCAGACAGCGTTAATTTGAATAAACCTAAGGAAACATGACTCAAAGAAACGTGACGTGACCCAGTGTTGGCCAGTGTGTAAACTTCCCCAGGAACTCCTTCATGCTCTCGACAGACCCGCAGAATGATCCAAACTAGAAAATCTCAGTTCTAAATTCAGTGCGCCACCTCGGACCCGAGCCGCCTGAATCCCAAGCGACTCCATCTTTCCTTGGCTGGAGACAACAAATCTCTCTTCTTCGGTGCCTGGACCTCAGCCTCAGGCTTGCCGAGATCCCACTTGATCGCCTCGGGCCACAGAAGGCTCGTCTCCTTCTTCTCATCCGCTGCGGACCAATTCTCAATGGACGGCACGTTGAGCTTGCCATATCCTTTCAGTCTCTCGAGGATCTCGCTCGTGTTTCTCACGTCACCGCGGGTGGCCCAGCCACATCGTCGCATGCCGTCGAGGTGCATGTCGGCCGCGGCACGAAGACGCTCGTCCTTATCCGCGCCTTGACTTGCGGAAAGGTGCTCGTCAAGATCGCATACGACATCCAGATGCACACGTCCAGCATCGCGAAGACGCTTGGCATGGCGCAGGAGGTAGGCTAGGCGGTTCGAGAAGTAGAATGCGGAAGAATCCAAGCCACCACGAGACTGACGAACGTTGTAGTAGATAGTTTCGCAGAGGGTGATGGCTTGGTCTAGGTGGCCCGCAAGCTCGTGCGCGTTGACCAGCAGGGAGCCGATTGTCAGAACGATATCAGGAGACCACACGCCACAGTTGCGCTGGACCTCCCTGGATCGCCAAAGCGAGGTAAGAAGGCTCTGTAAAGAGAC